TCTCTCTCTCTCTCTCTCTCTCTCTCTCTCTCTCTCTCTCTCTCTCTCTCTGTCTCGAGATCTCTCTCTCATCACACTCATACTCACATACACACTCATCCTCATATTCACATGCTGGCGAACATACAACATCTTTTATAATTATACTGTCCTTTCATGTTTGAACAATGTTACGGGACCCATTCTGTTTGTTGTTTACAACTTGCCTGAATAGCTTAACTCTTCATTTAACAGAAATGTGCTTTTAATGGACTCTTATTGTTGCTGTATTTACCTCAGGATGGCAGAATATGATCGCGTGTTTGCCAAACAGCTGGTCAAGGAGGTGGAGCGACACCCCATCTTGTACGATGCCAACTACCCTGAGTACAAAGACAGATTCAAAGTGGACCTGGAGTGGGCAGCAGTTGGCTTGGCCATGAATCAGACCAGTGAGAGTCATGGGGAGAGTCGACCTCTGGGAGTCTCTTTTGTTGCCGGGAACATTGAAAATTATGACTATTTCACACTCTCAAGTCTCCACCGAGAATGAGTTCCAGATATTTGATCTACTATAGATATTGTAGAATCTAATGTCTTTTGAGCTTTCTTTTTGCATCTGTTTTTTCTAGATGTCTCAAAAGAAGATTGAAACAGCTTGCTCAGACTTTTTAGAATACAACATTGTAGATAACAGAGATAACTCATGATGTCTTCACTATTCACAGACTCACTTTTACAGATCCCTCACCAGTTGTTTGTCCACCTCCCTTGTTTCAGTTCCAGATCGAGTATCCCTTGATGAACATTTATTATTACTTTCTTTTCTTGGTTGCAGTTGCCATAAATGATGTAGGATCCATGTTGTGAGCCTGTTTATTGTGTTGCTGTGCCATCTCCTGCATATTGGTTTTGCCAGTATAAATGGCTGTTTGAGCTTTTAAGCTATAGTATTAGTTAGCAGTAAGGATTTTCACAGCAGTCAAAACTATCTGATGACCCTGAAGTACTAAACTCAGCATGTGTGCTTAGACTTTTCTTCATAGCTATGTGGAATACTAAACATGAATTGTGTCAAGGATTTAAAAGTTTAAATTGACATCCAACTAGAATTAGTTTTCACTCTACTTTCCAAACATAAGTCTTTTTTCCTGAACACCTACACATTGGATGTCCCAAACATAAAGGTGGGATCAGCAGGGAGGCAAAAATGCAGTCTCTGACTTTATTTCAAGTCTGAGTGTGCTTTGGGACGTGCAGAATGGTTTATATTATGCACATCTGAGTGACTGCAATGGGAAAGTGCCAACTCGCTATACCACAGACACCTGTATAAAGTGTCCACATTTCTGTGCTGTTAATACTGTAAAACAGAGCACACCTTTTATGTAAGGACACATTTAAGCAGAGATGACTGTAGTAACAGTTGTTTTTGTTTGCCTTCATTTTTCCTTTAATCAAGTTATGAATTATCTCTGTAGGTGTTTTCTATTTTTCGTGTTCTCAGGTGATGTAGTGCGAAAAAAGTGGCAGAATCTCCGAGGCTCCTACAGCAGAGCATTGTCATCCAGAATCAAGGCAGGTCCCAACTGTTCTCACAAAAAGCGTGCAGTGTTCTATCTTGAAAAGGAGATGGACTTTCTGCGGGACCATATGTCACAGGGTACAATGATAGAGGGCAGCAGTATGCTTGAGCCAGACGACAACTGCGACAGTAAGGAGGTGGTTAGTGGTGATGTTCTAAGCTTTGGAGGGGAAGAAGACATCGAATCAGAGTCGGAGGAAGAGTTAGTGTCACACTATGTCCCTCCAAAAAAGAAAAAGAGGAATTTGTGTGCAGTGAAGGAATCTTCCAGGGCAGTTAATTTCACATATGGGGAGAGGAGAAAAGAGAGATCGGACACTGACTTGGACTTTTTCAAAGGACTCCTGCCCCAGGTGAAAGAACTCAGCAAAGTCTACAAACGTGACTTTTTCTACAAAGTATACAACATTTTGTACGAGACCTTATGCCAACAAGATGCTGATGTTGCCATCAGTGAGGTCACTGACCACAAGGTGTGATGGCTTTCATATTAATTGTGACCTCTTGTTGTGATGGTTGATGTAGTGAATGTGATCTTGCTGACTACGAGAGGCAATGATTGATGTAGGAATGTGACACTTGCTGATGGCAAGATGACAGGATTAATTATTCTAAATAGGACTCACCATTTAAATTTAACATACATTTTATAGATTAGTTCAACAAACTTCTATTCATTTAGGGTGTACGGCTGTAACCCACCCATACACGAGGTTTGAGACATACATAAACGATATTTCTCTAAATAGTGTACAGGTGTGAAACACCCAGTCACTTGGAATAAGACATGAAATATATCATTAGGGAAAGGATTAATGTAGTGAATAAGATGACAGTTGCTGCACACTGCATGTAATGGTTGATGTACAGATGTAATGCTGACTACAAGTACAAGATGTAGTGGTTGATGGAGTAAATACACAACACTTACTGTCTGGATGATGTGTACTGTAATGGCTGATGAGGTGAATGGGTTCATCATGTAGCCATGTATCTGTTATTTTATTTTAAAAGAGGTCAATGTCGATCAGGTGATTATGTTTGTGTGGTATTTTAGTCTTAGACTATTGGGTAATAATTATAAATTATAATACAGTAAAACCTTGTTGTACCGTCCCCCGTAATACCGCCAGTCCTGTTGACCACCAGGTTTTGCCCCTGTATGAAAAGGAGCGCCTGTATAGCATAAACCTAGTATTTGCATCTTCACACCGCCAACTGTCTGAGTTGTACAGTCCTTATTTAACTAAATGTAATGTCAGCTAACAGACAGCCAAAGGTACACACTGCATACGGTGCACAGCTCCACCTGGCTGGCTACTCGATATGCTTTCTCCCACGAGAAAGTCATAGAGCTAGAGAAATAAAAGACTCCCGGTTCTGAATACATGTGCACTATGTACACGATACATCATGTATCAGCCACCAACAAAAAAAAACCACTTTTCAAACTCATATTGTGCAACAGAGTCATGTTCCTTGACGTTGGACAGTCGGGGCTATACAACAGAGGAACCCCATTGAACTGCCAGCCCCTCTATTCTGCCAACTTCATGCTCGTCCCAAGGTTGGCGGTACATGTACATGTATAATGAGGTTTGACTGTATGCATTGGCGTTGTCACAAGAAAAATGAGCCACTCACAAATGTTATGCTCACCTTATTGAACAGTGTCAAACGAAAACATATTAATATGAGTCATGAATTGTTCATGAGGCTTATAAAATGTCTGTTCTGTCATCGGTGTGATGAGATGAACAGTTTTCTCTTCTTCTTGGTTTGGGGATACATGAAGCTGTACAGAAATCAATCTGAAAGAAGAATTGCCCTGCTGTTGTATGTATTGACCTGGTTACAATAGTTTCCAGGTCTGTTTTATGCTTTTTTTAAATAAAAGAGTCAAATCATTGAAAAATATTTTTTTATTGTGGCATGTTCAAAGTCAAAGTGTCAAGTCTACTTTGTTTTTGTGGTTGTCTATAACTTGTGTTTTAGACAAAGTCATGACCTGACTGCCTGTGGAATGGTGAAAGGCTACTTCTCAAATATAATATTATAATGTGCATTACTCCTCGAGGTTTTAAAACCGGCTCCTGGACAAAAGACAAAAGATTTCATTACGGTACTTGAAATTTACTTGACTGACTTTATCAATATACAGCTGGGAACATTGCTGTCAAGGCAGGAATTTTTGTCATCATGGCAACTGGTCATTTGGTCAGCTGACGGTTAGACAAGGAGATTAAAAGTAATGGAGGATGCTCTGTCGGCGGCACCGCACGCCTGATAGGAGCCCTCTCTCGCGGCGGAACTGTGGTCTACCTGCGCTGCGCGAATCCCCGACTTACGCACTGAAATCTAGATAAGACAGAAGGTTTTATTCCGAGGTCCTTCAGATTAGGCAAGTCAATTAGTAAAAATGCCTTGCATATGTGTTGTATTTAAGTGTAAGAAC